GGACTGAACCTCGAATTTGCACACTGATCGAAGTTTTTCGGACATTCCCTCGTTGAGAACATTGCCACTTAATCACTCAAGACACACAAACATCTCAGTGATCAAAGATTTAAAATACTCTCACCTCGCACCAACTTTCAATGCTCCCAATCCCAAAATGCCGCATCCGCATCCAATATCAGCCACACAACATCCCTCAATGTGACCGTTATCGTTTATTGTGTCCAATATCGCAACTGAATTATTAATCATCTCATGTAAAAACCATCTTCTTTACACCGCTTTACCTACTATTACCAATACACTAATTATTTTATCAATCGTATCGCAATAACAAATGCGTTTCATGCATATTCAAATAAGCAGTGGAAGACTCATGGGCAAGTGAGACAAATGTGAGCACGAGCAGTGAGCGATTGATGACAACAACGACAACAACCACAATGCGATCAACTTTGAGTAAACTCATCAATAGTTCGAAAAATTGCTTTTGTATCGGGAGCAGCATCTTTTAAAAAGATCCTCCATTACCGAATCAGTTGGTATTTTTCCTGCCGCCAACTCATTGCGTTATTAGGGCTGAGATTTATTGTAGCATTTAATAACCTGCAAGCTCAGGGCTGGTCGCGTATTGTTCCAAATTCAGTTTTGGTTCATCGAATGTATCCAGTTCGGAAAGAAACCATTCGAAATGCTTCTTCTTTTTGAATCGTTTCATAACAAATTATTCCCCTCCATTCATTCTTTTCACCAACTATACACTGAAAGTGAAATTACTCAGTAACCAAAGTGAATAATCATAATCATCGATAAACTCAAACTCTAAATGTTTGCTGAACATCTCACGTAACTCAACCAAAAGCATATTTCTTGTTTATTTCATCACAACATCTGATTCGATTCGAACGCATTCACAACAATTCTCTCCCACAAAGAAGCTGAGCATCGAAGAAAAGATCTTTCGTAAGTTTTTTTTTGCGTTATTAGGGCTGAGATTTATTGTAGCATTAAGCAGATTACAAATTTTGTCAATGTGGATTTCAGTTTGAACCAATCAACACGCTACCATTAACTTGTTCATAAGATCTGCACTAAACACTAGTAAAACTACGACTACTTTAAATCATCTCAACT